GCAGTTGCTTCTTCACCACTCATCTGATTCAGTGCTGGTCTTTCCCATACTGTTGCCTTGCAATTAATCATTGTGTTGTGTCTGTCCCTCTTGCAATGCAAGACTCTCAGAAAACACAGCTCATCTTCCTCCAATACGTTTAGCACTTATGGAATTAAACAAATAACCCAAATGGGCACTGGATCATGTACAGCATCACATAGCCCGGACCGTGGCCAGACCACAGACCAAGATTTCTATTCATGGCATCAGACCACTGTCTGTTCCCAGGTTTTAGTACATTCTTTTTCTGCAGATTCTCAGATAACTATTGTTTTTCAAAAGGCCAGTTCCTACAACTATGATCCCAGAGACTGATGCATTTTCTTTTTCTTCTCATTTCCTCAGTCTTTTGTGCATCAACAAAGAGCCTATAAAGAAGGCATTGCAATTAGCACTTTCTCAGATGCACTTATCTGTTGAGAGCACTCAGCACTGAGCTATCTTCTGCAGGTGGGTAACTTAACCTCCTCTTACCACTTTTATTTATCTCAAGTTAATTGCCAGAAGTAGTAAGCTCTTTACACTGTGCTCTGAATTCATGATCATGCAGATACTTCAGATGATGGACGGTGTGGCTGTGACAGCAAATAGCAAAGCAGAGATGGAACAAGGATTCTCAGAGCCAAAAACAAGAGCACTTAAAATATTGGTGCAGACATTGAAAAAGACACATTCCACAACTGATGACATAAGATTCTGTTTAGACTTCTCAGATCCATCTTTACGGAATAAGATTTTTGCTTGTAGATGCAGACATTTGTCTTTGCTCTCTGTTTTGTGTCTAGCAGGAACAATGTCATACATGCAAGGTGAAGCACAGGCCATTGTCACAAGGCCATTTTCAGCATTATTGTCACTGGTAGCTGAGAACAGGACCATGAGATGTCCACATCATAGAACAGAGTATGACAGGTTCATGCTGGTTTTCAACTTGTCTGTAGGAAAACAGGGATGGAAACTTTGGCCCGCTCCCAAAAGAAAATCTAATAATATCCATGCTGACACTACAAACTACAATGATAGACGAGTTTGTAGTGTGCAGTGCACTGTGTGAAGAAATGCAATTCCTCTACCGAAGAGCTGACAGTCTGAGGCCTTTGTCCAACAGCCACGTTGCCCTTGAAGTGATGTGGTTGAGTGTGCCTTGTGGAAAGCTATATCCTGTTGTATAATAGCAGGAAAGCTAATGGTTATTACTGATTAGTGCTTATCACTAATTTCTTTATTCCTTAGATAAGGAATAAAGATATACTATAGATACTGGGGAAGCATGTGCTGTAAGGAAAGATGCAAGTGCAAGAGCTGTGCTGCTGTGAAGCACCAACTGGGCTTTGTGCATGAGGAGTTATACAGGAGGTGTCGCATCTACACAAATACAGCGTTGGTTCTCTCAGTGAGCTCCTCCTAACAATGTTTCTGGTGCATATACTGTTGTGAGAAGCCAGCTGGCTGCCATCTGAGAGCAGATGCCAAGTGGCTGTCAGATTGTCATCTTGAGTTTTAGTATTCGACTCGTCTTTCTGTGAATTGGCTTTTGGCCTCTTTTTCCCTAGGAAGAGTTATGTCTGAGCCAAACAGCCTCAGATTTCTCTCCTGTAAAAGAAATGAAAGTATGAGTCACTATCGCTTCTGGTGAAATAATTTATAAATCAGAATTACTTTGCTTTAAGTGGTTTTCCCACTTTTTTGGGGGGAGGGGGGTAGTTACATAACGTTTCTCCTGTAGCTCCTAAAAGAAGTATTGGAAAAAAACATAGCAGCCACTTCAAACAGTTTACTCATTCAATCTGTCCATTATGTAATTAATTAGAAAAGCTGAGAGAAATATAGTTTTTTGAGTTTCTGAGTTCCTGCTGCTCACATTTAAAGTTTTAATAAAAAGGCTGGTTGCAATGGTCTCTGATATACTGTCCAGTTCTGGAGAACTGTCAGTGGTTTATCTGAAGATGTAGGATAAAAATTAAATGAAAATGAACTGAAAATTTAACAAAATTGTAGAGCAGAAAGCTCTAGGAGAGTTTTTTCAAAAGCAATTAGTGATCCAAAGGAAGCAACTTCAAGTAGTCTTAAAGGATTATTACTTTTCAGAGAAGGGATTCACACACACTCTTTGGGAATGGAATCATTTTCAGATGTATCATAGTAGGCAATTCAGCTCACTAGTCTTGTGGGAAATAATACCCTTAAGAGTTCTGGAGATCTGAATAGACAGAAGTTGTTATTGCCGTTGAAGCAAAAAAAGTGTCTGCTGGAAAGACACATAATTAGAAAAAGCATGTTTTCCATAAAAACTGCTTTCTGAAACAATATGCCAGGGCATCACTAAGGCATACTTCCAAGTAACTTGTGCCATCATGTAGGAACCCATTGTCTGTATTAAGCCATTTGAAACTGATCATAATTATGTTATATCCTGTTAATGCAGAAGGTCTATACAGGGAGCATATTTGTTATATTACTTCTAATGCTACTAAAAACCCCAAATACATTTCTTTTTATACTTTGAACATTTGTGTTTCCCTTCTTCTGACAATAAAATATGATTGAAGTTTATCTGATGACACAAACGCAAGCATTTCCTTCTTCAGTAGCTGACTGAATTGGCACCAGGATTCAGAATGAGACCTGAGGATTTGCAAATAAATACCCAAAAGGCAGGAAGCAAATAGTGGATGTTTGGACTGGCCCCAGTAGTGCACAACCTAGAGTATTAAGCAGATGGTAAAGGGGAGATGCACACTTGTTGGTATGTTTGCTTCTATTACCTAGAATAAGTTTCACAGGTACTCTTCAGTTTTCATGGGTGCTACTCTCAGAATGAGATGGCGTAGTGATAGATGAGAATCTGTTTGCATCAGCCCAATTTACAGTTAGCTCTCAGTTGATACTGCTACAATAAACTGGATCTTTCTCTCTTTTTTTTTCCGTCTTTTTTTTCTTAGTGGTAAGAAGAAACGAGAAGATTAAATATGGTTTACATACAATCATAGTTTACAGAAACAGGTTATAAGCACATGAATCAGAGCAGAGAGAAATGCACCTCACAACACCTGATGAAAAAATCACAAAAATGTTAAATGACTTGGAAGGTCTAGAAAGATCATCTCCATCTGTGCTGCCAGCTCCCTTAGAACTAAGCTAGTAATGAGGAAATGCATTTATTTTTAGGCTTTTTCCAGGAGGAGAAGGCTGATATCCTGACACAGCAAAAACCCTGGGTCATCGCCAGCACTTGGCACAATAATCCTTTCTATATAGTTTATGTGGTGAGAAATGTTGGCTTGGGTGAAGAACTCCTCACGTCATTTTGGTGGCAACAGTAGAAAATTAAAATGTTCAGCTGGAGGCAGCAAATGAGAACAAAGAACAATGCCTACTGCTGCAGCATGCTATTTCCTGGGTACTGGAACCTGGCAAAGTTTGGAGGCTCCCAAAATAGACACCACTCAGTATTTGTTGTATCTCCAGAGGTGCCATGCCAGGATTTTCTTGAGGTTGCTAAGGAAAAATGTTCTATCAGTTAAAGGAGGCAAACCGTGGTGAAATCAGGCATTTTTTCCTCTAACCCTGAACTTCTAGCAAGTTTGCATCTCCAAGAATTTGTAACAGCACCAAGAAAGAAACCAAAGTATTTTAAATTGCAGGTGAGATTAAGAGTCATTGGAAAATAGGTGTCTAAAATACTGTGCTTAAAGGCATGAAAAACCAAATGGGGGTTTTGCAAGCAGCAAGGGCGTACCTGTCCCAGAATCTGGCCAAACTGGGTTTGTGAAAAAGTGGAAGATGAGAACAGAGACAAACATCAGTCACTTTCCACTAGAAAGAAGAGATCCATAGGGAGCCATTTTGTTCAGGTCAGCACATATCAGTTTTGTAATAGAATACATAGGTTGTTCCAAAAATGATGCCTCCTACTTATTTCCATGGAAACTATAGCAGATACAAAAGCAAAATAACACTAGGTAGAGAAAATTCTCAACTACAAAAACATATTTTTCAACATTATCACATCATTAGCTATGTATTTTCACCAGTGATGAACAAGCAACTACCCCCCCACAGGAGATCCTCCATTTAGCTGTAGGCATGCAGTGGCTGTGGTCAACAATCAGCTTGGGGTTTTCCTTTCTTCTTTCTGTTCACAAAACAAAAGAAGACACGAGCTGGGATGGATCAGCTCAGAACCTTTTACTCCAAGCTCTCTCTCCAATAAGATGAGCTGACCGTAGACGAGAAAGATAAGGACAGCCATGCAGAGAAGCTCCAGGTGCCAGATCTCAAATTGCTGAGCAAGAAGTAGGGAGCTGGTGGTTATGAACTTCAGAGAGATTTCTTACAAGACCCTACCCAGTTGTTTTTTCACTGGAGTCAACCTGTACTCTCCTCTGAGGCAAACAGAACCACCTGCTTCCTCCTATTTTTTCTCCCAGACTCCTGGGCCACTGACAGCAGAGGCCAAGTTCATCTTTCACACTTAATGGAAAAGAAGTCTGGGGCCTGGACAGGCTGCAGAAATGGCAGCACAGCACTTGCAAACTTGTCGTTAAGATGCAAATCATAGAATCATTGAATCACTGAACCATAGAATCATAGAATGGTTTGGATTGGAAGAGGCCTTACAGATCATCTAGTTCCAATCCTCCTGCTGTGAGAAGGGAAACCTCCAACTAGACCAAGCTGACCAGGGCCCCGTCCAACTTAGCCTTGAACACCTCCAGAGGTGAGACGCTTCTCTGGTTAATGTTCTAATGCCCCATCACTCTCCAAGTGAAAAATTTCTTCTAAATATCTGATCTAAAGATATCTTATTTTAGTTTAAAACTATTGCCCCTTGATCTATCACTGTCTACCCATGTAAAAAGTCAAGATTAATATTATTTATAAGCTCCCTTGAAGTACTGGAAGGCCACAACGACGTCTCCTCAGAGCCTCTCTTCTCCAGACTGAACAAGCCCAGCTCCCTCAGCCTGTCTTTGTAAAAGAGGTGCTCCAGCCCTTTGATCATCTTTGTTGCCCTTCTCTGGACCCGCTCCATCAGCTTCACATCTTTCTTCTATTCTATCAACTGCAGCGCTCAGCCTGGTGCACTTCATCCCACTACCCAGTTTATTGATAAAGATGTTAGAGAGCACTTGTCCCGACAGATCGCTGGAGGGACACCACTCATCACCGGCCTTCACCTGGACATAGAGCCATTGACCACAACGCTCTGGCTGTGATCATCCAACCAATTCCTTTTCCACTGAAAAGTCCACTCTTAAATCCATGTATTTCCAATTTGGAGATAAGAATGTGATGTGGGATCATAGCAGTGGCCTTGCAGAAGTTCAGGTAGATGACATCAGTTGCTTTACCTTTGTCTACTGATGCTGTGAATGGATGCAGTCACATAGGACAGTCTTTACTACATCAAGATCGTTAGGAAATGTTTTGTACATAGAACAAGAAGTGATGGATCCCATCATCTGGAGTAGTCAGATGGGTGCATCAGCCAGCTGGATACAGGAAATCACACTATGAATAAACAGTGTTAAACACAATACTGCTTCGCCACCATGATTAAAGACTTGTTGAAAAATTATTTTCCTTGATCTGTCCAATTTCTGAGGTAGACACTCCCTGCCAAAACTGCATGGAAGACCTTGGTTATTTCAGAATTTCATATACTTTTAGCCAAATTGCTCAAGCACGCTTGGATAATATGCCTATTGCCATTAAGATACACTTTACACTACTGCATTTTTTGGAAAACTATTGAAAATCCACCAAGCCTGGATGCTGTGGTGTATCCAACTCTGTTACAACCACTTGTTTCTTTTAAAATGCTTCTTTGGCACCTGTGCCCCGGCCAGGACTTCCTGCTCTGATGTACTTCTAGGAAAAAAAGAAAAAAAAAAGATTATGGAAATGCAAAGGCTTGTGTCCAACAAAGCACTGGAGATGCCATGTCTTAATGTAGGCTTTCAACTCTTTCGTAGATTCTTAGCCTCTCACCAATGCCAGTAGTATCTCATTGAAAAATAAAGGCCTAAAATCTTTACAGGATTAGGCCCAGCGTTCCTGTTAGTTTCTGTCCCATAGCAATCAGTTCTAATTTAAATGGCTTTTTATTATCTTCACACTAATCACAAGCTTACAATTAAATGCAACGCATAGCTTAAAAGAAGGAAGAAAAAAATACATCCCAGTAGTGGCTACCTGGGAACTACAAGAATAGGATAAAAATATTCAGAACATGTAAGAACACAAAGCTGTAGAATTCTTTTTATTTATTTGAGTAAAATTACTGGGAAAAACTGGGAAAAAAAAACCAAAACAGTGAGATGATATCAGGAGGGATGTCTTTCTTGGCACTCTGTTAAACTGCTGAATAATTTTCTAACAGAAGCTGTTGAAAGCATCATCAGCTTCTGTATTTTTAAGCATGACAGGGGAAAACAATGAATGTTGCAGTGACCTCTGTGGACACAGCACCATGCTAAGCAGTGAGTGTACTGGTATTTCAGCTAACTTTTTGGAACTGGTCTAGTGGTCTATGCACACACATCTATTACACATACATTTGGGAAGGAACAATTTTGTTACATGGAGGAATGGCAGAAAGAGGGCCCACAGCCCAGGTCTTGCTTCACACTGAGTCACAGAGGAGACACGAAGGGCACTTCTGTGTATTTCCTTGTCACTAAATAGTGGCCAAGTCCTGGGACTTCTTTCAGGTCTCAGAAAGTCCGCTTTCTTCAGATGTGGTTATCAGGCTTTCTGGAACAAAACAGATTCAGAGGGTATCAAGCAGAGCTGTTAGATAAGATATTCCTTCTGACTTGTAGCAGAAAACCATTTCGTACAACGTTACTTAAGGGTCCTGCCTAGATGCTTCAAGTAACTGAGTTTTCACTAGTTCTCTGGCGAAACTTTTCTACCCAATAAACCTCTTGTGAAAAATTTGTCCTAATACAGATTCCAGCTTCTTCTTTGCTCAGATTTACTACTTAGCCCCCAGTTACAGGTCTTCATATAACACCATTGCCTGATTATCATTGCTGTTACTTAATTGGAGTAATTGAAACAACTTGACATGAGGTGGATAAAGACATTAGTATTATCCCACTTACGATAGTCATCTTCAGATGTTTTGCAGTGCTTTCAGACCCCTCCCAAAATGACGGTAGGCAAGAACTACCAGGAAGGTTTTATGAGAAGGGCTCTCTGGCTGCCATTCAAGCTGCCATTACATATAGAATGCAGGTGCATCTCAACATAGCAGACATAATGAGATAGAGAGCGGGAAAATAAAATGCAGAGTTTATGATTAGGAATATTGGTTCAGCTATTTATATTGCTGTTCAGCTATATAAATCATTTGGAGTTATTTTTCAAGGGAGCAAAAACATCAGTGTATATTTAAACAATGCATTAACTCCAGGGTTACCTTGAGTAGATGGATTGCTGAAATCAGTGTTTTTCAACACTAACCTTTTCCTTCTGGAAAGGTCAGTTCATGCTTCTATTTCGTTGAACATGGGAGCTTAAGTGCCAGAATTAATGCATCTTAGGAGCAACCTCCCCAAGAGAGGGCCTGTCAAAGCTGTAACAGTGAAAAACAAGGAGATTTGTGGGTTTTTTTTTTTGTTGTTGTTTGTTTGTTTTTTGTTGTTGTTTTCCAGTCTGCCACATGCAGCTTTTACTGTAACTAGTATGGAAAATCTCTTAGTGATAACACAGTTCAGTTGTTCTACATTTAGGTTAGCAATTTCTTTTCAACAGCAAATATATGGGGGCAAAGAGGCTGTTTTTCAGCTACAGAAGTTTGCAGGGATATTACAGGATTGTACAGCAGCTCACATGGCACCTCCCCACCTTACAGCCGCATCCTAGATTTTTGTTGGTACACAAGTGATGGCAGATTGGAGGCTTTTATTCCAAGATTTTTACGATGACTTGGAACACATTTTGAGCCTTGAATAAACATTTCCTCGTATGACTGGCCTATCAGACAGATATCCTTGTTTCCTCACTAGTGATGGTCTTATTTATTTTGTCATTAGCTTATTGCTCATATTAACAGCATGAAAACTAAGCAAATATCCTCTGGGTTTGTTGGCAATGATGTATTCACAAATTGTGCTCTACAGCTATCATGTGTTTGCACACATACAAAGTTGTATTTCTGAAATGATGATGCTTGAGAACTACTTACCCAAGTCTAAAATATTCCATCTGATGATGCAGAGAGACTTTTGGAGAAACACACCGTGGTCTTAGTTAATCTTAAAGGCCTAGCAGTCACTTGAAATCACCTGCTACGAGTTTCTAAGCCTTCAGTTATCCCATCCCACTGTACTTCTACAGCTCTCTAGCCCAAATGTTCACTCACGGACACAGGGAAGCATGAGAATTTGTAACAGCATGAGATGCAGGCACGGACACACAGCGATGCTATCCCTGTGTCATTCGCCCCCCTGCTGAAGCAACTGCTTTCTCTCTGATCTCATACCTTAGGTGGGCACATAACATTTATTGATACTGAATGTATTTTTTCGTTCATCTAAATGGCTAAAAATTTCGAGGTAAAAGGGAAAAATATAACGTATACATTCTTCTGTTTTAAATCTAGATTGCATTACCACACAGATAGATAAATTTTTGAAGTATTTTAAGATCAGAATAGGCATTAAGACATGATGGAGAATCTGGAAGGGACAGAAGAGTTATCTGGGGGAACATGAGAGAAATGTATGTAGAGAAGAACTCAAGTTGAATCAGAGGGCAGAAATATGAATGACCATGTGCAATTAACAATATGCCAACTGAACACAGCCAGCAAGGAGAAGTTTAGTGCGGAAAAAAAATATACAGGCAGTAGTTAGTAAAAGTTAAATAATTCTGGGATCTCACTGGACAAGTGAACTACATAATTCAAAGCGCTTTCACAGCTACTGCATTCAATTTATGGGCCCAGACTGCTGATCTCACATATGGTCCAGGAAAATCTGTACCAGTCCATATCATTATCACCTTCAACTCTAACTCTCTTACAGCTACAGCAGTTTGTGAGTGTTCAGTGTGAACATTAAGTTCTTTACAAAAGCTGGTGAGACTCTAGCTTTACATTTGAGTCTTCACTTTTCAGTCACCGGTGGCTTTATTTCTAATTATCTTACATTGCAGAACCACCAAAGGAGTCTGGAGGCAACTGGAACTCCACTATGTTGAGTGCTATGGACAGTCCTTTCGCACCATGCATCAGGCAAAACAGCAGCAATTTCCTAAAAGGTAGAAATATGTCCAGTTCTTTGAGACTGTTTTTCAGGGCTGGAGTGTTTACATGATATATTCTACCTACTAGAGCTGCATCATCTTCAGTTGACAACTTCACTGTAAAATGAATCCTGGTATCACCACATCAAGGAGAATGTGGAGGAAAATCATGGGGGGAAAAGGCCGCAATATGATAGTTAACAAAGAATATATAAGCATTAGAAGATGAGCAAAAAATGTGAGGGACAATTGTCCATGATCTATAAACACAACCTAGGGAAAAGAAAACTTCATGGGCCATAGCTATTATCTGTATAAATACTTTCAAAATATAAATGCACATGAAGGAAGGGAATTACTCAATCTCAGCAGATGCTGAGATGTAGAAGCATACTAACAAAGAAGGAGTTGAGATTAAGCTCAGAATACTTCTGAATGCTAAAATCAGCTGAAAGACTCTAAAAGAGACTGATTACAAAAGGCAGTGTCATCCTGCTGATACTCAGGATGCATCAGGTGGGGAATTAGTGGAAAGAAACACAGGCAGAGTGCAATCTTGCAAAGAATAGAAAGACAAGCTAGCTGAACAAGCAATCTTTCTAGCTCCAATGTCTATCTGATATCAGGGGTGGACAGAATGAACTCTCAACCTTTGGGCAGGTATTTACAACACAGTGTGACAATAACGCAGTTGAAGAGCAAGGAAATGCAATCGTACCAAAAGAGATATGAAACATGACCCTTTTGAAATCAAAAGACAAACAAAATCCAAATTAACTAGGGGAGCTTATGAGAGTTTTTAGGTCAAATTCACCCCAGAGCATTAAGGCTTTTTTCTTTCCTTTTGTTGGGAGGAAGCTTGTCATGTACACATGTGGCCCATAGCTATTCTCACTGATGCTGTCCTTGAAAACCTTGGCTCTTTGGATACACAAATCAAAGTGCAGTGTTGCAAGTTGGAGTGGCAGTCCCCTGAGCCTGCTTGCAAATTACATCTGAAGATAGCTTTTCCTGTGTGTGTTACTCAGGGATAAGGGTCTCTGGGGGTGTCAATATCGCATTTGGTTGAGGAAGAGTGTGGGCATCTCTTGGGCTTTTGGAAACCTTCCTTAGTCACAGTGTGGTCAGAAGGTAGTTTAGGCTTTGGCTCCACGTGGAAAAACCTGCATGCAAGAGTGTTGATAACACCCCTTCATATTTATATTGGTAACTACAATATTACTTTTTCACATTTAACACACTGCACTGTCTTGGTTAATGAATCCTGACCATTTCTTTGTCCTACTGATTAATATTTTTCTTGAAGTGGAATAAGCTAAATTGATGGAGACCAATACAGCAGTTGCTCTTAGTCCTGCCAACTCTGAGGTGTTTCAGCATCTTGCATCTTCAATCCTTTGTGAAGACCAAGCTCTTTTAAAAGCTTTGGATCCTTTAATGCCCAAATAACTATAAACAACATAGAAGAAGGAGGAATAATTCTCCCAGTTAAGCCTCCCACAGAGACTGTTCTCTGTAACAGCATACAGATGAATAGGCTTTGGATGTTAATTGTAACACTGTGTACTCTTCCACAGCTAATCAGCTCACAGAGTACAGACAAGTAACTTCTATTATCAACTCCATTCCACCACACAGACCATTCTGAAATGCTTCTCCAATAGCTAATTTAGAGACCTCCCGTTGGCTTAGCTCAGGCTGTGGAAGGTTTGTAAACAAGCTGTGTTATTCAAGAGGAATTTATCCTGTCTCTCTCTTGCTTTTTCTCTCTCGCCTAAAGAATAAGGATCTAGTGGAAATAGCTGTGTAAGGATGGAAAGCAAAACATATTAATACCTACTGGCAAAAGCACATGGTCAGTGCCTCAAGAGGTTTAGTGTGCAACAAGCAAGAAACTCACTTGCAGACCTAACTAAGTACCACTGCATCATCTTCTGCTTTATGAAGTAAAAATCTGTTGGGGGGTGAAGAGGAAAGAAAGATTACCTTCCCCCTTTCTTTCATAATAGAGTAGTTTTTACCAACAGTATTTATAAACAAATTTGTTTTCCCCCACACACACACTGGAATGAGACACTGGACATCCAGAGTTTGTAATAATCCCTTGCACAAAGTTTGTTTGAGTCCCTTGTGTTCATATTCCACTACAATATGTTTTATACTGTTCTCCAGGTAACTGCTACTGATACATATTACAATTTGGATATGGGAAGCTATTTGCACAACATTAGAAATCCACTGAGTGCAGATGTACATTCTTCTGCCATGGAATTAAGGTGCAAAACAAGGATGTTGCCTCCAGATAATGACATTCAACAAATCCTAGTTTATCCTGAAAACCAAAAGAGGAAAAGCATTGAATGATCTAGGCCCTCCTTGCAGCTGAAACACATTTATTAAACTGATTTAATTCTTCAGCCACTGTCTGCAACCTCTTTTGGTCAGTGTTTCTAGCTGGAATCATATTTTTGCAAAGAGTTCAGTATCTTTCTTGACCAATTTTTGACATGGCAAGAGCAGACCACACTCCCCTTCAGCTGATGTTGGTAGCAGAATCCCACTTCTTTAGACAGAGAGTGAGTAATTGTGGTTCCCACTGTCAGCATGAGTATCCCAGGAAACAGAATGCCCCACATAAGTGGCCCCTTTTTTTTGTCTTCCACATTGATCATGTGTGACACAGCAGCTTCTTACACAATAAAAGTGAAGAGATTGAAGAGTGTTTTAGAACCACATGAAAATGGCATCTTGTCTTCCCTGTGTACCTCTCACATCCATTTCCTTTGGCTTTTTTCTTGTTAACGAGGAGATGAAAATCTCTGGCATCTCATAGCTCATTATTAATACATAATCATTCTCTGCTGCTCACAGGAGAGGTGCAGAAATTGACAGTAGGCCTCTGAGACAGCATCCTGGTTATGCAATCCCTTTACGTAGACAACTCTCAGTGACTGTACAGAAGAAACAACCAGTTGCTGTTATTGCCAATATCTGTTAGACACCTGGAGCATTTGTGGTAAGGCAAACTCTGTCCTGCTTTATCCTAAGGAACAACAGATGTCAAAAGATGTTTTTGAAGATACAGAGAAGTTGGCAGCTTACAAAGTTTCTGTCCATTTTCTTTTTGTTGTCTCCTTTTTCTCCCACTGTTAAAGAGTCTGAAAACAATAACAGAAAGGTGAGGGTGGGTTAATAACAACAGCTCTGCAGAAATGAATTTTGAGGAGGAATTTGAACAAGAAAAAAAAAAGAGATATCCAGAAGCTGGGAAATAATGTAGCAGCAACCAAGAGAGAGTTCGTCAAACTACATGAGAGTGAGCAAGCT